GCATTCCAGGAAACATGCTTAAGAGAAACTACTCCCCCCTCTTTGCTAATTGGTGCCACTCAAGCATAGATTTCATCTGGACGTTTATCCGCATTATATTTTTTAAACCTCAGTCCTCTTTTATTTTAAGAAAGCTGCCTCTCTTCCAGAAGTGGTTTTAAAACTTTTTAAAAGTACAAAGGAACCATTTACACTGATTCTTCCTAAGGTTTCTTTACTGATGCTCTTTAACATCTACTCAGTGGTGACTCTGTCTGGGGTGGAACCATTTACACATCAATGCTTGACAAATTATGACTCTCAGGGACTAACAGTAGGATCCTTTGGGGTTTCCCCACTTTCCTTTACCACATTGGTGCTAAATTCAAAGCCTCCAATGGGAACTCTTGGTAGCAGTTGGCTGAAATCCTGTCACATAGTGTTGAAAGTTGCAACTAGAGTAGGTCCACTGAAGCAATGGGATATCAATGGGAAATCAGCTTTCTTTTTACAGCTTTGCAAAAAAAAAGGTTGAAGAAAAACTTTACAAACAATGTGATCTGCTGGATCTTTACTTTTATTGGTTTGTTTTTGTTGTTGTTGTTGTTTGTTTTTGCTTACTGCATTAGTATTAAAATTGAAAGCCTCCCCAATCTAATCAGAGCCATTAACTGGGGACATAACAGGTAGTAATCTACTCCAGCTGTAAATAATACCTTTAAAACTATTTGGAAGAAACTCTTTAAAGAATTTCTTCAAAGATTTGCCAGAATGATGCCAAAATGAAGATAGAGTGGCGCCAGTTGGATCTCAGCTGACAGTTACCTCCTAGAGACATAGGATTCTGAACCTGGCCTTTCCAGAGAGGACTGACTGCCATCAGGTGATGAAGGAAGCTCTGAAGAGGAACAAATTCTGATCCTGAGAGAATAACAATGTTTCCAAGACAGCAAAGTGTAATGGAATCAAGGTGCCCAAGTCAACTGTAGCAAACAATTGAGAAATGAGAGGTGGAAAAAGAAGGTGTCCAGACCACAACCAGATAAACTTATCTCAAGCCCAGACCAAATTTGTTGATACCATGATCAATGGTATCAAAAATTACTGAGAAGTATAGGAGGATCAATAGGGTGCCACTCACCTATCTCTCTCCTAAGGCAGCCATCCATCATTGTAACTAAGGCATTTTCAGTCCTAAAATCCAGCCTAATACTAGATTGAAATGGATCTAGACAATCAAATTCCACATGAATGTCCATCATCTTGCCCAAAAAAAAGGCACAACAACTCAAACTGATCCTAAGAAGCCCGACTAGGTGGTATTCTGGATACTACCATAGCTACAGCATCTAGTGCTAAGCAAACATAAGTGGGTTTCTCTTTGAAATGCCCAGCATTTTTATCACAGAAGGTAACTGAAAACTCCACTTCTATCTCTTCTGTGTTTGATTTCAATATGTTCTTTAATACCTAGAATAACTCTCCTAGACAACAGCTTCCTCGATGCTCTACAGAAGGCAAAGACATTTTGCTCTTTTAGTTGCTGATAAGAGAAACAGCAAAGTGTTTTTATTTGTTTTCCTTCGTAATTGCTTCATGACTCACATCACCTGAACTCTAGCAGTCCACTGGCCTGCTTCATTGCCCATAAATCTTCCATGAATCATTAACTCTGTACATTCTGAAATATACATACTTAAGGTTAAAATTGTCAGCTTTTCGAAGTGGTTTGAAAAAACCCACTGTTTAACCAGAACTGAAAATGGGATGCATGTACACACCACAAACATAGGTTCCTCTTCTAAATTGCTTTCAATTATCTGATAAATGGTTTAGGACAAGAATATCTGAAGGTTATATACACTTCTACATGAATCTCAGTTGCTGAAGTCTTCTAGATGTCAGACCTAGTATTTCCCTCCCCATTTCTTCTGTCTCAAATTGAGTTAGTCAAACTATCAAAATGTCAAAAGAAATGTGTTACAGACATAGGACTAAATTCCATCCTAAAATAGGCCTATATAATAAATGGAAATTACACAATTTCCCATTGGTGCAATAGGTCTGACTCATGTTAGGATGATACGCAATTCAATTTTGGCCACAATGTGCAGTTCTATGGTCCTTCCATTTCATTTCTCTTCCCTTTAGTAATACTAAACTGAAGCTAGCATGCAGGCCACCAATCTAGATCAGGACTACCACGTACAGACATTTCTCCCCCCCCATATCCCCCAATATGTAAGAACAGTATTAAACATCCCATCTCTCTGGGTGCTTCTCCAAATTTGGAAGGGGGCTTCCTTAAATGTAGATTGTAATCTTGAATATAGTTTCCTTGGTATGAGCACTATTGAACAAAACATGCAAATGCCAGAAGTCAGCTGTGAAGCAACCCCTCGGTGTTTCACATTATATGATCTTAGTAAAAATATCTTTGAATACTGGTGTTTACTATCATAGCAAGTATCATTGCAATTGGCACAAACGTAATCCTTACACAAGCACTTAATTTCTTTTTACAAAAAACATAAAGGAGGTGTTTCCCTACCTTTAGGTGCCACCTGTAGAAATTGCTTATGAAGAGTGCTGAGCTGTGAAATAGTCAGAGTACCGTTTGTAGCAGTCTCTACAGAAGGAGGACGAGGTGTAGGGACAGGATCAGGAAATACTTTTATATCTCCATTAATATAAAACTCTGTTCCTTCTAGGACAAGTTCGTATTGGATTCTGGTAGAAGTTTCAATGTGATTTCGGGCAACCTCAATTAATTTGTCGACACTATAAACAAAATAATGTTGAAAGGAGACAAGTTTTCACCCTTCTAAAACTTTAACAGTATGGATGGTCAGTTCCTCTGCAGTTATAGGAGCTTTAGGAGCACATCTAGAAAAGCCATCTGCACCAAGGCTGCTGCTATTGAAATTCCTGTGTAACATAGCTAATTATGATAGCAGCTACTGGAATGGTCATTCTGGAAAGCTAAACAGGTCTCAGTAAACCAGACCTGGGCAAAGTGCGGCCCGCACGCCACATACAGCCCGCGGGCCACTCCAGTCCGGCCCGTCCGTCGCCGCTGAGTGAGCTGGAGTTCCGGCTCCGGTCACCCAGTACGGCAGTAAGCAAAACTAGCAAGATCCGCCGCTGGGAATCTCGTGGGTTTTGACTGTTACTCTCGAGCCACAGGCTGCGGAGTCTGCGGCTCAAGAGGCTGGAAGCAATCCTTGCGCAGGTGAAATGATGACGCATCGCGTCACCTGCACGGGATGGAAGACGGTCGGAGAGGAAGGCCGCGGGGGAATGGAGGACAGGTGAGTTAGCTCAGTGTCGGGGTTTTTTGGTTTGGTCCCCACAGTTCAGATTTTTCATGTGGCCCCCTTTAGAAATTAATTGCCCATCCCTTTAGAAATTAATTGCCCACTCCTTCCTCCAAAATTTATATATGTCTATTTGGCTCCCTTATATTCATAAGGGAGGCATTTGCACTTTTGCTGGGGGGGGGATTCCGGCATCCCTCCATTTTTAGCTACAAAAAATGGTTTTGCAGCTGCTTTAAGCAGTAGTTATAATTATAGTTAGCATCCCAGCAGCATCACAATGACTTAAAGCAGGGATGAGCAACCTCCCTTGCCATTTTTTTTCTTCGAAAAATCCCTCTTTATTTAAAAGGAAAATATTTCATTTTCTTATTGAAAAATAAAAATGTTTTGGGTCGTGGGGCCACTTGGATGCTGGGGGGTGATCAACACCTGGCAAAGTTGTCCCCCCTAAGTAACAAAGGAATTTCCAAAGCCAATTTTCCTCTCCAAAGTTAAAAAGAAATTAAACAAATGGGGGAATGAAGAGGTGCTGGCCCCCAAGGGTCCTGGAGGTCCACATTTTGGCCCCTGGGGTGCAGTGTGCAGGCCATGTGCTATATATGTTCCTGCCCTGATTTATAATAACAGTCACTATCAAAATTAAATTTTTCCTACCTGGACATTTCAGCCAGGTATCTCTCTCCAAGCCATTTTTCCATATTCCTGTATGTTTCTTCCGCTTTTGATTGTAGTTCCTCAACAAAGGCTAGTGCTTTAACTCTTAAGAGCTCAAGTCGAGATTTTGCAGCTTCAGCTGTTTTACATTTTGGGACAGAATTAACAAAAAAAAATGCTCACACTGTTATCATTTTTATAGCTTTGACAGTCAAGAATTAGATGAGGCATTATTTAGGAAACAACAGCCTGACCTGTATAATTCTGAATTGCTGTCAACAAGAATCCTATTTAGACTTAAAATATGGGTTGGTTTCATTGCTCATGATCAGCACTGTATCTTAATATTTAAGCTACTCTTCAGGATTGGGTGAAAAAATTATGCGGAACCATGCTTTGAAATGGCTTGAACTGAACCCAATTAAACATTATGTAATTGTCAAACCATGACTAAGGTGGTTTCTCTGGCTGTCCCAGATTCTCCCTGCTTCCAAGAAGAAAGCATGCTTTTCCAGAATCCTTTCTTATATGCTCTCCTGTACCAGGGTTTAATTCAGCTTCAAGCTATATGCTGTATGATTCCACTCTGTTCCAGTTCCCGTGTCCAAGCAATAAAGAATGGTTAGTCCTACAGGTGGTCAACAGTTATTTCTAAAAAGGAAAAAGGAGCAATGTGATCCTTGTATACAATCCAAAGGCAAATGTGTGTGATAACAGCTTGTTGACTGGGGCTGGTTACAGGGATCACATAACCCTCCTCTTACAGTAGCTCTACTGGCTGCCGATCCAGTTGTGGGCATAATGCAAAGTGTTGCTTTGAACTAAATGGCTTGGGTCCAAGCTATCTCAAGGGCTTTATCTCCCTTTATGAGCCTACACGGGTGAAGATCATCAGGAGAGGCCTTCTTCTGCTGTATCTTCCTTTATGAGCCTGCCCGGGTGAAGATCTTCAGAAGAGGTCTTCTTCTCAGTCCCACCATCCTCACAAGTGCATAAGTCCCACCACCCTCACAAGTGCATTTGCTGGGGACACAGGAGAGGTCCTTCTCTGTCGCTGCTCCCAGACTTTGAAACTCCCTCCCGTGGGAGGCCAGACTGGCCCCATCTTTTGTATCCTTCCACAAGCAGGCTTTATCTTAGCAACTGACCGTCAGGGATGGTTTGTATTTTGTTGCTTCTAAATCTTAGTAATGCTTTCCTCTAACATTCTAAATATAGTGTTATTAATTCTTTTAAATACTTGAATAATTTACTATTTTGAGCTTTTAATATCATGTTTTTAATGGTGCTTTGGGTCCTTTTTAAGAGAAAGGCAGGGTAAAAATATTTTGCAATAATACATAAATAAATAATAAATATCTTTATTAGACTGCTAAAAAAATCACAAACATAAGCGAGCTTTTGACCCTATACAGGAGTTCATCAGACTGGGCACCACAGAACTGTGGATGATTTAGGGGAAAAAAAGCCACCTTTAAAAGTTCCAAAGATTGCAGTCAGATCTGTGTATCAGATTCCCCCGTTAAAAGCACATTTCGAAATGCTGAATGAAAGGCAACCCCCTGCCTAACAGGATTGAGAGAAACATTGCAAACCACACCACCAGAGGTGGAGTCTGAATCCTAAACCTCTGATCTGATATTATAGCCCACATTTTTCACCAAACTTTTAATAAAGGATTCTGGCATGAGTATCTGCCCGTGATTTTTGGAACTTCTATACCTTTTCTGACCCTTCTACACCTGTGGTGCCCAGCCTAATGAAAACTTCTACAGGGCCAAGTTATGTTTATGATTTTTTGGTGGTTTAATAAAAGTATCACTCATCCTTGCCTACGGCTTATTTCTACAGTCAGATGTGACGTCTGTAGTGTGCTCAATGAAAAGTTGCTGTAGCACGTGAAAGATTTCTAGGCAATCCGTGGCCTTCATTCCTCACTACTTTTCAGCTTTAACCCCTACTGACTGAAAGGTCCCTGAATTTACATGACTGAAATGCACGCCATACCCTCACGGTCCAGGGCAGCAAAATATTCCTGCTTCATTTTCAGCCTCAGTTCTTGCTTCTTTAACTCTTCTGGGGACAACGGAACTGGTGTTGCTTCAATCACAGATGGAGAATGGGAGCCTGCAAGGCAAAAGATACATATACAGTATGTCACCTTGAACTTCTCAGAGCAAAGGCAGGACATAAATGCAATACATAAATCATGCCTGCAAAGCTGGTGTCAGTTGAAGAGATTAAAAGCCTCTTGAAGGATCCCTATTGTTTAAATCGGGATGTTCGGCCCCAAGAGATTCTTCATTTTGTGTCTTTGTTAATGAATCCCGGGTGAGGGAGCTGTGTCTGGGCGCAACCCTAACCACCCAAGATAGCCAAGGAATGATCAGCTGAAGGTCTGTTAAACCCGAATTCCTTCCAGCCTAGGGCCTATGCCCCATTGTGGCTATGAGCATGGCCTGGAAAGGGTTTGGGTCTGTTGGCACTTGGCTCTTCCTTTAACTCTGTCTGAGACTACCAAATTAATTCAGGCCCAGGTGCTACTGGTGGTAAGATAAAAACCTGATCTGATGTCCAATAGCTACGGTTTCTGGTTCCCCTCCCTGCAAATGGGATGGCGAGTAGATTGAGTGGCATAAACGGGTTTCAAAATTTGTCTCTCAGTCAACCAGTTGGCTCTCCTAGCGACAGATACTATGTGCTGGTGATACAAATGGATTCTGTACCCTAGAACCTTCATGGATAGTGGTTGTTGATAGCAGGAAGCAGAGTTTGGGGGAAGAGGAACAGTGTTGGAAGCAAGATATTTATTTGTTTGTTGTTTGCTTGTTTATGTACTTACTTACTTACTTACTTACTTATTCATTCATTCATTCATTCATTCATTCATTCATTCATTCATTCATTCATTCATTCATTCACTCACTCATTTAATTTTTACCCCATCCATTAATGGCAAGCCACCACTCTGAGCTGCTACAAAAAAGTAACATAAATTGATGACCAGAATTAAAACAATAATTAAAACAGTAAGATGTGAGTAAAATGGAATGCAAGGCACATTTTTGTTGTGTGCTGTCAAGCCAGAACTGGTAAGTAACAATCCTAACAGTGGCCCGTAGTCCCCTTGACCCCATGGGGTCCTCCTAATCCATCATTCTAGCCACTACACAACAGAGGTGGGGTAAATCAGGCACACTAACAAACAAGAACCTTTTCTAAAAATGTGCTAAGCACATTGACTAGTTTGACTCTCATATGTGTTACTTTGGAGGTTATTTCCAACAACGTGACATTTTAGAAATAATATAATTGGTGGTAACGTCATTAGTTTTTACTTATTACTCCTAAAATGCTCCTAGAGGCAAAATCAAGGGGATTTTAAGGCATCCCAAAAGTGTATTTTAAAAGGTACTTTAGAAAACCTAATGACAATAAATAAATAAATAATGCTAGCTGATTTTTTTAAAATTAAAAAAAACACAGAATACCAAATTGCTTTTTAGAGATAACACTCCAAACTCTGCAAGCTAACAAGCCGGGGAGTGGTGTGGTGTAGAATTGTCCCTTACCTGTGTCTTTTTTTTTTTTTTTTTTTTTGTGGTTTTGGGACTGGACATGGTGCCCCCAGGGCTAGCCAAGATTGTCATTATTTGTTTCATTAAATGGGATTGTGCTTATCCAGGACCCTGCTTCACATCGCTGCAACTTCCTTACCTTTCTTTTTGCCTTTTTTGGCATCTTTGCCCTCTTTTCCTTTGGCCTCTTTGCCACCTTTTCCTTCCTTTCCGCCTTTCCCTTCCTTTCCGGGACTGGACATGGTGCCCCCAGGGCTAGCCAAGATTGTCATTATTTGTTTCATTAAATGGGATTGTGCTTATCCAGGACCCTGCTTCACATCGCTGCAACTTCCTTACCTTTCTTTTTGCCTTTTTTGGCATCTTTGCCCTCTTTTCCTTTGGCCTCTTTGCCACCTTTTCCTTCCTTTCCGCCTTTCCCTTCCTTTCCTCCTTTTCCACCTTTCCCTTTCCCTTCTTTTCCACCTTTGCCAGTGTTGGCTTGGGAAGATTTCAGGCGCTCTTTTTCCTTCATTTCTTGCTGAAGTCGTTCCTTTTCTTCCTCTGCCTCTTTTGACTGGATTTCAGCAGTCACCTCAAATTTTGAACAGACAGTGTTGTAGAAGAAGACTCAGAGCCTGTAGCATGACTGTCAATAACGGCTAATAACCAATAGTTTTAAAAATAGGAAACGTCCAACCTAGGCATACATAGCTTGTAGGTCTCCATTTTAATTGATTTGATAGCCAAGGCTTTCCTTACCATATTAGATATTGCTGTTACAATATTGTGCCACGTCTCAGTGATCAGTTTCTCGTCTGGACCAAAATTAAATATGGCACTCTCAGAAAAGAGATCTTCCTTGAATTTAACTGGAATTGCTTTGATCCTTTCCCTGTTGACTTCTGGAGAAGGAGATCTGTGTGCAATCATAGGGATTCTTCAAAAAAAAAAAGAGAGAGGGAGAGAAATACATAACTCTACTTATCTGTGTCTCAAACTTCATATATGTATTTTTATTACAGACTCAGGATGATATCAGACAGCTGCAAAAGCATGTGTCTGATCACACCAGAGTGTTGCTTCAATAAGAGTCATGTTCCTTAAAGCAAAGCGGGCTGCTTATATATCATCCCATAGTGCTTCAAGCACTCTCTGGGCGGTTTACAAGTTAATTATGCAGGCTACACATTGCCCCCCCCCCGCAAGCTGGGTACTAATTTTACTGACCTTGGTAGAAGGCTGAGTCAACCTTGAGCCGGCTACCTGGGATTGAACCCCAGGTTGTGAGCACAGTTTTGGCAGCAGTTTAACCACTGTGCCACGAGGCTCTAAAACAGTGCTTCTTAACCTGTGCGATATCGACCCGCAGTGGGCGATTTCATTTTTCAGGGGGGTGATGGAACAAAAAGGGGCGATGCGGGGGTGAAGGAACAGAAGGGGGGCAATATGGGGGTGATGGAGCAAGCCAAACTTGAGAAGGCGGCTGCAGCCGCAGTGCTGGCAGCGGATCCGGCAGGCGGATCCAGAGCAGGTGGTGCAGGCAGAGGG